TTATCACTAAAATTATAACAACATTTTGAGTACTATTTATTTCCCAGAACAAAGCCGTTATACCACCCAAAATAATACTGTTATTTTCTCAGATACTTACTTTATTAGTGGAGATATAACTTTTACATACGAAAAGGGGCATAATTAGGTTTTGCATTATATAAAATTCTCTTTGGTCAAATAGTACTTATTACTAGTTTCGGACTATATAAAATTGGTTTGAACCAGGAAATACTACTATTAGATTTTGTGCTATATAAAATTGCTCTTGGTCTAGAAAATATTATTACTAGGCTCATACTGTATAAAATTGTCATGAAGGGATAATAGGTTTTGTGTTATATAAAAAATTTGTTTGGAACAGAAGATAGTATTACTAGGTTTTATACTAATTAAATTGTCTTGGACTAGAAAATAATATTAATAGGTTTTACATTGTAACTGTATTGAAAAATGTTTGCACTATATAAAATTGTCTTTGATCAAAAAATAATATTAAGTTTTGTGTTATATAAAATTGTCTTGGACTAGAAAGTGGTATATTACATTATATACTACACAATTCTTTGCAGTAAAAAAAAACTCAAATTATTGATTCTCAATAGCAAAGTAAGCGTTTATTTAGCTTTATTATAATACTAGTTTCATAAATAAAAATCTACATTATTTTTGAAAAGTAAATTTAATTTCTACTTTACAATTATTGCAATTTTCTATTGAAACCCGAGACATATCATAAGCTAAATTAGAATTTATAGAAGGTTGAGTTTCTTGATCCTCTTCGATGACCTAAATACTAGAAGAATCAGTTTCATTATTATTGAAGGTAGGTGCTTTGAATGGAATACGAAATGGCTTAGAAGCATCAAATGGTTTAAATTTTCTTAAACAGATACTTCTTTGTCTAATTGGACCAGCTACTTGATTAGTTGGAATTGGTGCTAATGGAGGTCATGAAACAACTTGCTTGATATCTAAAATAAAAAAATAATTTATAAATTTGTATAAATAGTAAATAAATAAGTAAAATAAAAATTTACTTGAATTATTATTATTTGTAGTTTGGTTTTGTTCTATAGATGGAATTATCTTTGAGACTGTATTATGCAAGATTTCACGAGTAAAACTTTGGTATGATGCTACACCACCAAGAGATCG